TCCTGACAGTATTTTAGCAAATTACCGATATGCAATTATAGACTACCACACCTTCTGGATAACTTGGCATTTTCCGCAACGAGAAATAGAGAGATATAGAAATAAAGAGACAAAGCCACCAAGCTGCAGCACAAGCTTTTGGTATAACTCCAGAAGAAAACACTTTAAACTATGATTACTGCATCGATCTGTGTAAATAGCTAGGCTTTAGTTTTAGAGCGGTTGGGCGGCCAACCGAAATGCAAATCAAATCGAAACGTGCAAAAATTATATATATATATATACCTACGTACATGCATAAATTATACACTTTTAATTGTAGACTCTAGTAATTCTATTTTTGTTAAAAATAAATTCTATTAAATTATTTTCAAATGCATTCGCGCACGAAAACATAATTATATTATAAAACAAGAGGCAACGGTGCAAATCTTTTGCAAATACATTTTCGGGTGAGTACATAATACGCATTGTGATGGTGATTAAGTTTGAATAGTGTATGTCAAATGAGAATTCAAGAGAACAATATATTTTATGTTCACCAAAATTTAATGAGTGGCATTCTAATATATAGTTTTTAAAGGCTTATTCTTAAATCATCTTTACTATTTTGCTACAAATTTTTTTTAGACATTAATCCGGCACATTCAAGTTGGTAATGTGGACAAGGCTACCACTATATAAATTGGTCGTTTGATTAATATCAAATTAATTCTTGTATGAAAGTGATTTTCATTATGTAAAACCAATGAGTTAGTTCGAGACTCAACTTTGATCTATACTTTATCTCTTTTCTTAAATCATTAAACGCACTAAGAATACTTTTGTTAAAACGTATCCATCTACCGACAACATTCAACTAATTTTAACTGAATTAAGATGCAGTCGAACTTCTACAACTTCATTTGCCTCGCTTTAAGTTATTAAGACTTCGAGTTATAAAATTAATTTTTCCGGTTTTTCTCAGACATCGTAAAAAGAGACTTTTTTATTTATTTTCTTTATCAATTAGCCTTTTTTGCAGCATAGCATTTTTGTATTTACATTTAGTTTTTAATTGGTCTTCCATTCTCTGATTTTTATACGCTTAGTGGACAAGAGTAAAAATACTATTATTTTTGACGCCTAAAACTAAAAATCTCAGAAGTGTTTTAAAATAAAACTCTCAAATAACTCTTATTTACGGTCTTTGGTTTTATACTAGCTATTGCCAATATAACTCTATTATGGAAGTTTGACTGTATGGTAGACTTAAGACTGATAAACAATGTCAATATACTCCGGAGTCTTAGATTTTCCCACGCCCTCGTGGTGATCAGTACCTGTGAAATTGCCGACAATGATAACGCCCGCCCGGCCCATTAGCATCGGCTGACCACAACAACGGGAGGCCTAATCCGCGGCGGCAGGTAAGCCAGCCAGTGCTAATGGCCATGTCTAATGGACGGCGTCGGCGCGTGCGTTCCGATTCCCTCACTCGCTGATTCCTGATGCCCCTTCAGGATTCAGGACTCGGGACACAGGTCGCGCCGTGTCGCGTCCCGTGTAATGAGTGCTTCGGTGGGCAGGTTCGGGCAGCACTTGGCAACGGGGCGGTGCTTGGCAACCCCTGGATAATTCGGAGGGTGGATGCTGTCTGACTGGCTGGCTGGCAGGCCGAGGGCGGCTGCTCGATGATTTGTTTATTGATACTGTAGTTACACTTTGCAGACGCCGCCACCCACCACCCAATTGTCCTGGGGAGATTGGCGTTGCCAGGCGGAGAAGGGAGCACACACGTGTCTGGGCGAGATTGATGGCACATCTCTGGTTACACAATATTTTGACTTCTTTTATCCGGCGGCGGCTTTTTCCGATAATTTAATTAAGGCCTCTAAAGTGTTGCTCCTTATGCTCGAACTGAAATTAATGAGGGAATTGCTGTTTCCACCGTTCATTTAAGACCATGCGGCTTGACATGTGGGAATAATGTGTGATGTTCTTCCAAGAAAAACCAAGTTCAATGGGGACTCATTTTAAACGATGTTCAAATACCATTGTACGGTCTTTCAGCTTAAAGGAAATCTGCGAAACGCCTTACAAAGGCTTAAAAGGATACAATGCCAACTGCAAATGGAATATGCCCATGTTTCTGTTGTCTTTTTATTATATTGATCCTTGTGCTATCAATGCCCTTTTGACAGTTTTCATGACAGATTGGTAAACCTTTCAATAATAATGGGAAATTAAAAATTTATACTTTTTAAAACCCACGATTTAAAGTAAATAAAATAATTAAACATTCAGTGACCTAGTCAACATATTTTCTGAAATTAATAAAAAAACTAATTGATCTAATTTGTATCTAACAAATATTTAAAATACTCCTGGACATTTGTTTATAGCATTCTCTTTCATATTTATAATGCTAATGCTCTTATTATAGTTAGTTCATAATTTTAAAACTTAAGCTAGCTTTATAGAAATAAATAAATAAATATTTATAATTATTATATTATTTATTTGTACTTCTTTAACAGCTTAAGTATTAAATGATCTTGCTCAAACCAAATTTTCAAAAATATTTAATTTTCATGGCCTGAAACGACCATTGTGTTTGTCGAAATAAGGCACTCAGTTACGTTCAGAGCTAATTCAAATTCGACCGCCATTTTCTAAAATATATCGATTCATCGGCAAAATAAATCGATTTTTTCGGAGTGTGACCCTTCTGTCGCCCAAATAGTATATTTATTTTTGTACAGCGTGTTCTGGCGCACGTTGAAAGTACAATTTAATTTTAATTTCAATTTAAAAACAATGCAGACAGATGGCGGCTCGAAGCGCAAGCGGCCCAAGAAGAAGGGCAATCGCTTCATGCGAAACGCCAAGGGATTCGCCAAGCAGGGAATATTTGGAAGGGGGACGCACATCGACGATGAGCAGTTCAGTTATTTCATCAACATTCTGGACGCCATGAAGGTGGGATTCGAGGACGTAGAGGAGCGGGGTGAGTGATAGTGATTGTCTCCTAGTCATCAGCCTTACTTACTTCTTTTCGCCTTAGTCAACATGGCCAACAATGTGTTCGAGCAGACGCAGGACCAGGAGATCCACTTGGCCTCCAATCAGATCGTGTCCAAGGCGCTGGAAACGCTGGTAGGATTCGTGGACGACGTCCAGTTGGAGCGCTACTTCAGCAAGTTTGGCGACAACCTGCGACCTCTGTGTTCCGATCGATTTGCCTCACACGTCCTGCAGAAAATGCTCGAGATTGCGTTCCTGCGCGGCGTGGGCAAGTCAGCTCTTCAGGAAACCAGCGAAGGATCTACTCCGAACAAGCGAGCCAAACCGGATGCCGCCCAGGTGGAGGAGGAGTACAATCTGGAGACCGACTTTAGCGAAGATCACCGCGAGAAGTGCCGGCAGTTCGTGCTCCGTATCTCGAAGTTCATGCTGAACAATCTGGAGGACTTCGTTTGGGACACCTGTGCCAGTCACATCATGCGCACCGCCATTCTCTCCCTGGTGGGCATGCACGTACCCAAGATCGCCTTCGAGAAGGGCGGCACTGAGATGGCCAAGCACCGGAAACTGTACAGTGTGCCGGACGAGTGGCAAGAGGTTATGAAGGAGTTCCCCCAGCGCCTGGAGATGTGGCCTCAGTTCTCAGACTTTCCCTACCAGGAGCACTCATCCAGCCTGCTGGGCGTCATCTGCTTGGCACTGAGTGTGGCGGACAAAAGTATGCTCAAGCATTTTGGCAAGAAAATTCTAACGATCGCCCTGCTGAAACCGAAGGAAGATGACGAGGAGAAAAAGGACCTGGACACGGACACCAAGATCGAAATTAAAGACGAGGATGATGAGGAGGTGAAAGAGCCTGAGGAGGGCGATGAGAAGAAGGAAGCAGAGCCCATCTTACCCAAAGTGTTCCACCATCAGAGCTCGGTCATTCTTCTCGAAACGATTTTGAGCGTGGCAGGAGCCAAACTTCTTACCCAGCTGTATGCAATGCTCTTCTGCAACCGCATCGCTTACTTGGCCCAGCAGCAAGGAACGAACTTTTCCATTCAGCGTCTCCTCCAGCACATCAAGGAGGTCTCGGACTTCGAGGCGGTCTTCACCGAACTCCAGCCGCATGTGGAGGGTCTCCTTAAAATGGGCTACACCGGGGTGGTGTCCGCCCTGAGTGCCGCCTGCCTGCGTTTGGGAACCAAGCAGGCCCAGATGATTGCCGCCCTGCAGAGTGCACTCCACGTCAGCGGCGACAAGGAAAAATCCAAGCAATTTTTTAACTGCTTGGTCAAGCTAAAGCCTTTTGAGGTGGCGGGCAGCGATGACTCGGGTTTTGTTCACCTCCACGGTTCGCTTATAACCCAACACGTGCTGCAATTCAACAAACCCATCTTCCTTGTTAACTGCATCCTCGATCTGCCCGCCACCCAACTGGCTCAGGTCTTCAACACACCCAATGGTTCACACATCGTGGACGCCTTCATGCAGAGCAAGTTCATTGGCGAGAAGTCGCGAGAACGTCTGATACGCCAGCTGGACGGCTTCTACGTGGACTTGGCCATCACGCGACACGGTTCCCGGGTTTTTGAAGAGTGCTTCAAGGCTTCGCAGGAGGCGCAGAAGTTGCGCATGGCCAAGGAACTGTTTGCCAAGGCGAATATGCTGAAGGGATCACCCCACGGACGTATCATCTACACAAAGTACCGCCTAGATACATACAAGCTATCACCCAGCCAGTGGCAAGAGAGTTTGTCCAAGCATCTGGACGCAGAAGAGCCAAAGGAGGCGAAGCGGAAAACACCGAAGACAGCCGCCGAAGCTTTCAAGGATATACTTAGTTAGTATATAGACGCTTTAAACTAATAAACAGTAGCTAAAATATTGAACTACCGCTTAGTTAAGCTATTGCTATTCATATTTCCTAAAAGTTCAAAAAATGTTGTAATTATTTGTTTGCCGCCCTTATCAGCCAGAGTATAAGCTGCTGGATTGAACGGCCTCAAAGTCAGTTGTATTGCGACAGGCGAAGCTTAAACATGTGGCTGTTGCGCGTAACGTTCGTTTGTGGCCTACTTTCCATGGCAATGGCATTTGGGGACGAAGCTATCTTTGAGGACGAGGACATCTACAACCAGGCGCTGCCACCAGTACCGCACACGGGCATCACAGTGCCGGGAACCAAGTGGTGTGGACCGGGCAACACGGCTGCCAACTTCGACGATCTGGGCCGGGAGCGCGAGACGGACAAGTGTTGTAGGGCCCACGACCATTGTGACGAGATCATAGAGTCGCATGGAGCACTTCACGGACTGCCCACCAACATGGACTGGTTTCCTATGTAAGTGGAGGTTTGCCTGAAATCCCTTATCGATTTTGTCCACATTGACCTTCCCACCACGATTTAGCCTCAAGTGCAGCTGCGAACAGCAGTTCATCAACTGCCTGCAGGCGGTGAACAGCTTGACCTCCAACACGCTGGGTCGGATCTACTACGGCAGCAGGAGCAGGTGCTTCGCCAACGGATATCCCACTACCCAATGCAAGCAGTACCAGGCTGGCACGTTTCGCATGCGATGCATCCGTTATCAGGTGGACAAGTCCAAGGCCAAGGTTTGGCAGTTCTACGACATGCCATTCTTCACGATCTCATCGTCGAGTGGCTGACCTCGAAACGAAGATTTGTAGACAGTACAGAAATTTGAATTCGCTGATCAAAATTTCACGACATTAGGAGTACTTACTTTTTATTTCGAAAAATTGTAATTTAAGATTATTTTTGAAATCGCACACAATATAATGCAATAATATTTCGAGATGTATGCGTACAACAAAGTTATGTAGTTCTTTTAATCTTCTGATCTTTTCTATGATAAAACCATATTTTTGAAATCGTAAATAATGACTATAGCTCGGAATCTTTTGTATACTTCATAGGGACGGAATAGCATCCTTCCAGCTTTAAAAACTTTTCACCAAAATTAATTCTGAAAGTATAAAAAAAAGGTGCCTACGAATTTCCGAGATCTGATATAGTAAGTTTAAGACTTAATTTTAAATCTTGTTTGCTAAAAAAACAAACTTTAAAAAGGAAGAGCTATTATAATATTTTTAAATTTAGTTCATGCTGTTTAGTTTATTTTACAAAGTGATTCATTCAGTTTCGATTTAAGTACAATCTGCTTTGTAAACAAACGAAGGCTTATCGCCGGCGAATGTCGAAGTTCAATCCCGGGACTCCTCCTCGCTGCCGCTGACATGTGTGTAGAAAGCCAAGTCGTAGAACTGCCAGCGCTGCGTTTGACCTTCGTCCACTCGGTAGCTGAGACATCGCCTCTCGAAGAAATCCGCCTGATTCTCCCGGCAGGAAACGAGGGGGTGTCCATAGCCGAAGCAAACTTCCTTGGTGTTGAAGTAGATCTTGCCAAGAGCCAGGGAGTGTCCGTTGCCCAGGGCGGTGAGACAGCTCCGGAAGGCGGACTCGCAGGCGCAGGAGAATCTAAGGGGATTCCACACTTATTGAGCCAAACATTCTCTAAGTGCCTTTCTCTTACATGGGAAAAATTCCGTCGTTCTTCAGACCGTAGGCCTCCTCTTGCGGCGGAATCTTCTCCTTACAGTTGTCGTGCGCCCGACAGCACATATCCGTTTCCCGCTCAGTGCCCAGATCGTCGTAGTTGGTGGCTATGTTTCCAGGTCCACACCACTTTGTGCCCGGCACTGTTATCCCTAATCCCACAGCCACATGGGTGGCACAGATCAGCGCCAAAAGAGCAGCTAGGAATGCAGTACGGAAAAACATTGCTCACGAGAAAGGGGCTAGCAGACGACTGATTCAAGGGGATTTCCGCAGAAAAAATTCGGTAAGGTTATTTAATCACTACGCCGACGTTTGAGCTGCGATTGAGGACTGAATACTGATTACGCTTAATGCTCTCCCAATGAGATTAGACATTTAGGTGTAACAAATTCTAAATACAATTGGACACTCACAAACTGATAGACATAAGTACAAGTGGCTGCTCGGGCTCTAAGCCACATTAAAGCTCAGCGGTTAATACAAGGCAAGTAAACACTAAATGGATTAATACGAGTACAATTGGGGATGTCCCAGAGACCTCTTAGACTTTGAAAAACATTTGCCAAAAACTATACAAATTCAGGCACCCCAACTGACGAAAATCGACTGAGATTTCTGGGTCACAACATAAAAAACTTAAATGATATTGCCCCCACTAATAGAATTAGATCATCTAGGCCTCGCTCTTCTGTCGGTTCTGCATGACCTGGCGAAGCTGGGGGAACGTGCTCTTCGTCTGCATCGGATGCAGGCGGGCGCACAACGAGGTGAATGGCTCATAGAGGGAAGGCCGCTCCATGGCGTTAACCGTGTAGTGCTTAATGCGCTCCCGCTGGCACCAGACATTGGCTCGGTCCATGACCTTCTCGAGGGGATTGGGAGCCGCCCGGGCACGCACGTTGGCCAGCACCACGACAGGAATCTCCTTCTTCTCCTTGTGCTTCTCGATGTCGGTCTTAATGTCGGCCAACATGTCCAGGCTGCGCGGGTCCATGGGATCGTAGACCAGGACAAAGGCGTCCGGGAACTGTAGGTAGTGGCGTGGCAGCTGCTGTTGCTCGCCCTGCAGTCCAGCCGTGTCGTAGATGCGCAGGGTCTCGCGGGGTCCACCCCGGCCCGTGTCCACACTGGCCACGTAGATGTCCTCGATGGTGGGATGTATCTCCTGCAATTGAACTGAATGATGAGCCACCAGATTGTAATGGAGCCCCATTGCCGCCCACTCACCGTTTCCGGATTGACGTGGCCGTAGACCAGTTGCTCGATGAGCGCAGTCTTGCCCACGCCCTTCATCCCGCAGACCAGCACTTTGCCGACCTTGGCGATTTTAGCATTTAGCATTGTTCCACCAGGAGAAATGGGTGCCACAAAAAAATAAACAAAACTTTCGCTGGGCGTTCGCTAGTGTGACCGAATGCCACCAACGGGAAATTACCTTTTTTCGAAATAAGGCACTGCAGCAATTTATCGAATGGAATTTACCCGCTCAATTTGAGAAAGATCAATTTTTCCCTCAAATGGTTTTTCAATTTACCAGGTTTTTAAATAAAAATCAGCGGTTAACGAATTCCCAAAATTGTAAATACATTTTTGCTAGTCAGTTCAAGACTTAATTTGTAAATCTTTAAACGAAATAAATTTACTTTGATTCACGCTGGTAACTTGTTTAAAACTTGATCATAGCTTGCCGCTAATGAAATATGTAATTGGGCTTGGGTTACTATCCTTCTTCCTTTTAAAAAGATATTCATAGCTTAATTTTGCTCCATCCTAATTGCTTTATTTTAAAAAATAATAAGTTTGACAACAATAGCTCAGCGGCTAATACAAGGAAACACGTTAATGCAATTATAAATGGGATTTTCCAGAATTATCAAGAGACAACTTTGAGTAAAAACTAAGCAAAAAACTTGTTCCAAATACTAAAAATGATTTGCGTAATTTTTTATAAAGAATCGTTAAATTTGTCTGTTTAACGATTTGACTTTTTTATTTGTTTAGTTTCATCGCTTAGAAGTGTGCTGCAAAATACCCGAAAATATTTGGGTCAAATTGTTTAGATCCGATTAAAAATAATTATTGACACTTAAAGGATAGTCACTCGGTTCTTTGGTATCATTGGAAGTTTATTCCTGTTAAATAGAAAAGGTAGAAGACTTACAATATATTCTTATTCCTAATGCTCAGTATTCAGCCTACACAAAACTCTTCGAAAACGAATTGAGCTTTTTGCTCCGGCAGCAACTCTGTTGCAATGAAAAACTGAGTTTAATTTGTTCTATAGTAGCACTGTGTGATAGCCATTAATTTGCGGCTAGGACCAGCGTAGTTGATACCTCAGCTTGCGGAGGTGGATCCTCGTTTTGAAGACGACATCCCACAGCGGACTGCTGATGCCGTATCCGAGGGTTTGGTGCGAGAAGTGGTGGTGGAAGTGATACCGCTTCATGTGCACGAAGGCCCGGGTGGAGGGATTGCCGTAGTGTAGGTAGTAGTGAATCATGTCGTAGCACAGGTAACCGGCCAAAGCTCCAGACAGGACCACACGTGGATGCCAAAGGACGAGGCTGAGCGGCGTGTAGATGATCGTAGCGAGCAGGGCTCCTGGAAGAGGCGGGAACACCAGGCGCTTCGGATCGTAGGGCACTTTGTGGTGTAGTCCGTGGATCATGAAGTGAAATGTGCATAGCCAACTGCCGCTGTTGCTGCTCAGCTTTACGTGGAACACCCAGCGGTGGAGTGTGTACTCCAGGAAGGACCACAGGAGTACTCCGAACAAAAAGTAAGCGGCAAACACTGCAAGCTGAAAGATGAATGTTTAGTTACCATTGACTGTCTAGTTTGGTTAAGCATTGCTTACCTGGCTACGATCCTGCCAGCTGCTGGTGAGGTCCTCCCAGGCACACCGGATGATCACGGGAATCCAGAATGTGGGCACCAACCACCACGGCGTCTTCGTACACATCTCCAAGTACCAAGGACCAAAGAGTCGCAGAGGCCTGTCCACCGGCTTGTGCACCCACTCATCGTAGCAATCCGTAATGTTAGCGATCTGTGGAAGCATTGCCTTGGACCAGTCCACCAAGTGCTGAAATTTGTATGGTTTCAAATGATTTATTTTGAATTCCAATTACTCCATTAGGCTAGTCATTTTTATACCCTTGCAGAGGGTATAATAATTTCAGCCAAAGTTTGCAACGCAGTGAAGGAGACATTTCCGACCCTATAAAGTATATATATTCTTGATCAGCATCACCAGGAGAGTCGATCTAGCCATGCCCGTCTGTCCGTCCGTCTGTCCGTCCGTCTGTCCGTTTCTACGCAAACTAGTCCCTCAGTTTTAAAGCTATCTGCTTGAAACTTTCCCAAAAGTTGTCTTTCTATTGCAGGTAGTATATAAGTCGGAACGAGCCGGATCGGGCCACTATATCGTATAGCTGTCATATAACTGAACGATCGGAAATGCCATAACTTTGGTGTTTTTGAAGTTAGGAAGTTGTGATTTTCTATGGTTTTTATTTTTGACCAATCAGTCTGACCTACCAAATTTCATAAGGATCGGCCGACTATATCTTATAGCTGCCATATAACTGAACGATTGGAAATGCCATAACTTTGGTGTTTTTAAAGTTGGGAAGTTGGGATTTTTTATGAGTATTAAGAATGCATCATATAAATAATTTTAGAGAATATAATTTACAGAATATTCTGCAAGGGTATATCAACTTCGGCTCCGCCCGAAGTTTGCTTTCCTTTCTTGTTAGAGTTAACTTAAAGTTCCCATAGTCTTTATAGAAACCAAACCTAATGAACAAGAAAAAAAAATAATATTGGTTCTTATTTAAATTCTATTCAAAGCTAACTAAAGACTTCAAAGCTTATTCTAAAACAATGTTTTTTCACAATCAATTTATCATGTGCATAAATGATATATTTTTGAAAAACATTATTTTCTCATTTTTTTTTGTTGTGAAGGGAATTTAAGAATAAACTATATTGGGAAAGTCACTTTTGTGAATTTTTCAAACAATTCGGAACATGATAATTTCATGTTCATTCCAACCAATCTTGGTTGAGAGAGATTTTTGTCGTCAGTGCGCAAATACTTTAAAAATCTATGCTGCTTGAGAGAAAATTATGATTCACAAGGATAATGTGGTGATCCTGTCAATCCTGAATGCCCTTAATACCCTTAGTGTGACCATCAGCAACCCCAGACCCCGTTAAAAAATTAAAAGTATATCGGCTATCGATAAACAGTCACAATCACAAGCAGCTGGTTCAAAATTGTCATTTAAACCTGTCTCATACTTCACACATAACGACGTAGTTTCCACTCGCCACAGCCGAGAGTAGATTCATTAAACTCCAGCCGCCTTGCTGATAGTCTAGGAGCAGGTGGACCATGTCGAATACATCAGTTCGCCCGATTCCCACGCTGAAGGGCATCTTTTCGGTGCCGCGTAAGATATCTTTTCCAAACAGCCAATCGGCCATGGCAACCAGTTGGTAATTTGTTTTGGTCTCCGTTCCCACAGGCGTCACACAGTCCCGAAACTTCCTCAAGGAAAACAAGGTGAGCCTGCGCTCGCTGGAGAAGACCACCAGCCAGAAATTGGCCGCCAAGGAGACAGTGCGTCCCAAATGGATGCCACCGCTGCGACGTACTTCCTCCGAGGTGAGGGAGACAAAAACTGACAGGCCACCGGCTAAGGGCAAGAACGGACAGCAGAACTCCCTGCAGAACACTCGCAGCAGCTCCCGTTCCCAGCATCAACTGGCCATGGCCATTCCGGCGGATGGAGAACGCTTCGATGGACTGGAGGAGCGCAATCCCATCTTATATGATCCGTCGGACGATCTGGAGGCGGAGAACCTCATGGAGCCGTCATCAGACCCACCCTCGGATCGCTGCCAATCCTGCGGCACCAATCGCAGCTCCACTAGCATCGGTATTCAGACCGAGGACATTACCGACGAACTTTACCTCACAAATGCACTGAAAAAGTATGCTCTTTTGGTCCTGATTTGAAGGAAACTAAAAAGTTGGACTCTCCCTTAGATGCAATTTCGATGGAAGATCTGTAATCGAGGAGCCGCGCAAAAAGTACGAAGACAACTACAGACCAATGCAGTATGAAAACGAGGAGGAGCTGGAGCAGCTTCCACTTTCAGCCCGCTCAAACACCTCGAAGCAAAGCCGCTTCCACATGTCTGAAATGGAGGCGGAGCCCATAAATTACGGCGCCTCGGACGATGAGGCACCTCTCAGCGCCCGTAGTCGCTTTACAACGGCCTCTAACGTCACCACCATCACTTCCAAGTCAAAGCGTCGTGAGCATAAACTGGGATGTGAGTATTTCCCGTAGGCCAAAAGTATTCAATTTAATGTTAAATGAGAAAGAAAGGAAATTCCGTGCAGCCGAAGTTATATACCCATATAAATTCACATATTTGGTCTCAAAAAACGGATAAAAGTCATTAAAAAGGGCAAACCGTACCAATGGCTTCATCCTTTCAACATTAAAAAAGTAATGCTAGAGAAATAAATTTTCATTATTATTAAAATAGGCATTGCTAAAAAAACCATTCATTACGTTTGAAAAACAAAGTTGTTAAAATTAATTTTGGAAAAAGTCAAACTAATGAAAAACATTTAATACATTTGAAAATCTTGATGAAGAATTGATACAAATAATAAATAAAAATCGTATTGTTTCAACAGCTCTGGATGAGGTGCGCCTGCCGCGATACCTGGAGAAACAAAAGCGCGAGAAGGCCGTGGCCAAGCAACTTGCGGAGGCACAGGATCCCGACTGTCCACGTGGTCATGTATTGCTGAGCGATCAAGATCGATTGACCCACCTCACCAATGCCCAGAAGCGTGAGTAATAAAATTTTAATAAATACGATCCTTGCTTAAATCAGCGTTTTTTTAACAGGTTACGAACAGCTAGTTAATGAGCTAAATCACATGCCTATGACAGCGCAGACTTTGCGTGTGCGCAACCGCAAGGCTGAGATCGACAAGGAGCTGACTACCGTGGAGGAGGACATCCGCATATACTCCAAGGCGAAGGTCTTCGTGCTGGCCAACAAGTCGCGCCAACTGTGAGAACTCGTGTAGCCCCACAAATCTTGAAACACTCCATCGACTGACTGATTAAGCTACTAGGAACTAGGATTTTCAAAACACGAGTGTTCCTTTCAAAACATGCCTTACGTTAGTTATATATTTTTGAGCTAAGCTTGGGATCGCAGACAGCCCCGAAAATATCACTCTGTCCAGCTCAACGAGCGATCCCAGCAGCCAGCCACTAGAGTTACAGATTAAATGCCGCTCATCAAACTTACCTCCATGCTCTCATCCACCTGGTTATTGTTCTTGTCCTCGGTTTCCCTAGGCCGTTGTCTTATGGCCCCATTACCTTCCTGAAGTTCGGCTTCTTTATGGCTTGACTTTATTTTCTGAGAGTCCTCTGGTTCGATCTTGTATTCCTTCATCAGGTACATGGCTGCATCCGAATGCGGCGGTGCCTTCAAAAAGCGGGATGTCATGTCTCCGCTTTTGAGACCCTTCAGGGTATTCAAGCCCCCTGGATGCTTGTGCAAAAACTTGGACAAGTCGTAATACTGCTGGCGATATTTCACGATGAACTTGTCGTTCGCTTCCGCTTCCTTGTGCATATCCATGTCAATGGGCTTCGATTCGGCAACTGTAATGCGAAAAACAATCGGATAAGACTTTGTAGTTCCTTTGCGAGCATATTATAGTCACAGGTTATCTACTGAATTAATTACTTTGCGTGCCTACCGGCAACACGATGCCATATTGTTTAACCTCCTATCTTCTGTATCAGACACGGCTTAATTAATTGTACAATTCACTCCGAGTATTTGTATCAATGCACTCAATAATTGGCGATCTCTGCTGGCCTTTGTGAGCAGCACTATCTCTAGCTATGTTTTTTGGGGGTAATCCAAATGGATCGTTTGAGTTTAGTTCAAGTACTTAAATCTTTTAATAAAGTCTGTATCGTACGCTGGGTACGTATTTTTATTGGAAATAAATGGTCAGGAAATATTAAATATAATTTATTTATTATCATCCCGCTTCGCTAATTATAAAAACTAATATTTACACTTATTTTTATTTTGGTATCGACTGCCATACTTTCATGCAATATTAAGGATATCTACGAAATTGAAACTTCTCTTACATTAAAAACTGTCATTTCATTTTTATTTAATTATTAAAAAATGGAGAAAAACATAATTCAATGCCACAAACTGTATTTCAAATATTTCCGACCCGATTTTCCGAAAAATTTGTTTCTTGCTTAAACAGTGTAAATTGACATTTCCTATATAAGTTCGGTATATATGCATATGACCATATAAAGCTGCATTTCAGTTAACTTAAAAACTTCCCTCACCACTCGGATAAAAACTGATAGAAACTATAGTATTAAAAAAACCCCAACCCGAAATGATAATTAAATGATAGTTCAAAGAAATAATTATAAAAATTCTTTAGATCAAGAGGATAAAACTTTGTACTTTATAACCTTGGATAAGCCACGGCTTTTGCTTATGGCTTTAATGGTAATAAGGATGAGATCGCTTCCTCAGTCAGGGTAACTTTAATACGTTGTAAATATTTAATATCCAGAAAGGTCTGGGAAAAAGTTTAGTTTAGCCATGCTTGCAGAACATTTGTTTAATTGTTTTGCTAATCGATACAATTACAGCGATTAGGTCAAATCAGTTGCAGGTCGTATTTGCAATTTGCAAAGCGATGTAGAATTGCACGAAGGCATTTCACCTATTTGCTGTCGGGACAGGGGATTCGGGATGGGGTGGTCTGCATCAAGTGAACTTGGCATTCCCATTTTGCGCCAGATGTTTCTTTCCGCAGATGAGTGCCAATGTGGGATCCGCACAAACATTTCCATTCTTCACCAGCCGGGAACCTCGCCTTCTGCCTACGCGCCAATTGTAGCGTCGCCATTCCAGCGACGATGTTGCTCCAACTATATAGTTTTCAGTTATCAATGCTGATAGGAGAGCCTGTAAGCGCGGGGATTTGGTGTGGACGGTTGGGAGTAGACGGGTCGTTTGTCAAAGTCGCAAGTGCTAAGTCCCAAATCGGGGTGCACCGATGGAAGGTGGAGCAGGTGCTCTGAGTCATACCCGGGTTTGGGCTGCGTCACATTGATTAATGTGGTTCTATCTGACACCTATGCGGATAGGCTGGGCATTGTCTGCCCGTCCTCCCTATCATATCTGCGCAAAGACCTTTCTAACACCCATGGCCGGGAATATTGACGGATACATCAAACGAGGCCTACCACTCGTGTTTACACGCCAGCTAATGGGTTCCGTTTGGGGAGTGATAATGCTTGTAGCAAACCATCGGGCTTTATCTATCCGGGTTAGGATCGAGAGGTATCTTATCACTGGCGATGACAAAATATTGAAATATGCCTGCACGAAGATAGTTTACTATCTTAACTATTGGCCATGTCCGGAGTCCACACATTTGGACTTCTTGGCACATTTCGCACTTTTTCCGAGTACTCCGCCCATGGCAATTTGCATAATTTTAGAGTCTAGTACAATGGGATTATTTATTTACCGAAGACGCACTGCTTAGAATAAAGTAATAGGGTCTAGGGCGGGTTTCCAAATTGGCAGCGGAGCCTCAGACCGCACGCAATGCAACGCAACTCACGACTGAACCATTGCCCACCCACCCAACACATCCGTACCGTCGACGGAGACGCCGACTGCGCCGCTCAGCGCTATCTAGCCACTAGCCTCTAGCCTCTAGGTGCTAGTTGCTGGCTCTGCCTTCTAGCTTCTAGCCACTAGCCATCGGTGCTCCTGACAAGCGAACCACGCAGTGTAAACGATAAGATAAACCTTGCACTAAGCCTAAAATAGTTCGAGTTCTAGATAAAACGCTCTTCGGAGAGAGAGACGGCCCGATCATGCTTACCGGCTTTCTGCGGTCGGCATGTACATGAACTACCGAATTCCTATCGGTCGGCCTGCTAGACACTATATAGTGCGCTATCGCGGCGTGTTCCAATTTTGCTAAACAATCCTGACGTAGATCTCGATAGCGATGAACCAGCGAGCGGATAAGTATTTGGGGAGCCGTTATCAGGATTCAAATACTCATGGGGAAAGATATTCCCAATGAGTCACCGCGGGTTAGAGCTTTGATTTGGGCAGTTAGAAATGATTCAGCACCGAAAATCATGCTCCGATTGTTCGTAAGCGTTGCAAGCACAGATTCGTTTTGAAGTAATAAATACAAACTTTCCAGATATTTAAGAATAATTAAAAGTTAAAAATAAAGCAACTGTTGTTTTAGAACTCACACACTAACACTCAGTTTAAAAGCTAAAGTGCAAATACAATTCAAAACTGTATGGATCAGACGACTACTTCATTTAACTGTCATAGGAAAGGGTCATCCACAGGCCATATGTTACGTCATCATAGTTTTGGCGATATTCGACCCATGTAATTATTTCGTCATTTAAAAATGCAAAAAGTCCATAGAAATAACCATCTCGCTAGTGGCTAGTTTAAATGGCTGTAATATATACAATTTATATTCAAATCTTTAAAAGTCAACCTAACTTGTTTGTTTTTCACTAAAAATTTATGTCAAAGAAACTAAATGGATATCTCAAAACACTTATGATTAAGTTTGGGCTTACAATTTCCGTAGTTTATAACTGGAGAATATAATATTTATGATTAAACGCCGTTTGGAAATATTTAAAGCGATTGGAAATGCTTTCTGTGACTCAGTACTTAGCATTTACCAGTATACTTAGCAACCAAACTATCTACGCTTTTTTAAATTAATGGGAAAGAGATCACAGAGATAAGTGGTTTTCCCCTGTGACTCAAATCAATCTTAGTCTTTCTTAAGCAGTTGATTAAGTGGTTAACAGTGAGGTCCAAGTAGTAGTTTAATAAAGTCACAATAACCAGTTACAAGTACTAAAGGTGAATTTGTAAGGCATCCCATTGGGTTGGAAAACCGCGAAGTAACCCAGTTTTTTTTTATATATCTACTAGTCAATGCCAATATAAGATAAAATAGTTTCTCAAATAAATAATAAACATATGTTTGCTGCAAACGCCTTTTTATTCCATCTGTGGGTGGGTTCTTGGGGGTGTCTTCAGAAATGTCAGTCTGTGCCAACAACTTGACGTTAAAGGGCCAAGCCAATCCCTGTGGCAACCTGTTATTGTCTATTGCAAGGGGCTATAATGGAGAATATAGTTAATTTATATGTGCATCAATCGCCTTCGACCAAGCCGAAGGGAATCGAATTGATTGACTTAAGTGCTGGGTCCCTCCGATAAGGTCCAAACGCGTTGAACAGAAACTAATTACTCTCCGATGCGCCAAAGATATCAATATCAATCAAGTGGGGGAATATACTGTACTGGTAAGCTCAACTACGCAATAGAGGATAAAACACTCAATGCTTTTGAAGGATAGTCATTTTTGGGTCACAAAAACTAATTTCAGTATCAAGTAGGTGACATTATAACTGTCATTACATTTTTCTGCCACTAATAACTTTCATAATGCGATATAATATTATCATAGTAAACCAAAACACAGAAAATAACAAATAATTAAAAAATGTCTGTTGCCTCAAAAAATTATAAGAGTATTTAAGTTAAAATTCATTTCAAAAGGTATAATATTTAAGTTAAACATAAGATGAGGGTATAAACTAATATTGCAACGTAACCGTCATAAAGTTGCTGTTCGTAACGTGTTTAAGGATAAGACAACATAAACTTGATATCTACGATTAGGATCCATTAAATTTCGATATCGCAGCAGATGGACAAATAAAAAGTTTATGGATCCCCACTCCATATCGCTAGAGTCTTATCAAACTAAAATGGAATAGTTATGGAGATGCGTGCGTGAAAAAATGTTTCTGTTGGAAGAGCTCACTTTTGTAGCATACTGTTTGGCGAACTACTTTTAGATTTAATTAACAAAAATAAACATAAACTATAATTCAACAGCCATTTTCTATAACTTTATACTATAAAATAATCAAACTTCTCACAGTGCTTCTGTTACTTTACTTACGTTACCTCTGCCTTATTTAAACTATTTACGAATTAATTGCGCTAAGTTGTATTAATTTCCAACAAATAAAAATATATTTATATAATAAAAATGGTGAAACATCTGATAACCACGATTTCCGTAAAGAAAAAAAAGCAAAAAACATAAGCCCCAGGAAGAAGAAAGAGTTTTAGAGTTATTATTTTTAAGCTCCTAATGAATAGTTCCTCCTTAATGATCGTTATCTTGGGAACTTATAAGTGTTAGATTATTCTTGTTTTCGCCTCCACCTATCTCTAAATTCTGTAGCAGCCAGAGTTTGAGAGCCACTTATTTCCGATTTGCTTAATATTTTGTTGTCGAAAAGTATGCAATAATTTTAGCTTTCCTTTGCTTTGGTCCTTGGTCTTTCTTTTTTTCACCATATTTTTTTAAGGATCTTTTGCCAGAGTAAAACTCATGGCAACTTTCCACTTTTCTTGCAATCTGGCATACATGAGGTATGAGTAATAAACTAGCCTACAGTTTGATATAAATTTTAGTCATCCAAGCCTTAAAACTCTGGGTATCCACGTTTTTAATGACGAAGATATATTTTCCGATGGAATAATTTTTTTAAATAACTGTTTTAAATTACAAAGAATGTGAACTAGAATAGTGTTATAAACTTACCAGATATGATTAAAGTGTCAATAATATATATTTGATCCTGAACCAAAGCCGGAAACAATAAGAAAGATTACTTTGTGGAATACAGACAATAGTCCGCTAAGACTTTTTTTTATTTTAACGATTCAGTTAGTAATAGTAGCTTAAGTCTAGTTTGTAATTTATCCAATTAAAACCATATATATTCAAATTATATATTTCCGATGGGAAATCAATTTCCTGTAAGGGTCCCACATCAGTGGCCGTTCCCGTTGGTAGCCAGTTTGGCGGATCCGTTGCTGTGTCCATTGGCATGAATCTTCTTGCCATTGGTGGCCGATTCCACGGCGCAGGGCTGGCCCAGGATCTTGGCCTTCTTCACAGGCGGCTCATTCGTAATAGTGGCGAAGTCGAACTGTGGATACAAAGGGGATTAGGGATCCTTCACGACTGATTATTCATAGATCCTGCTTACCCGCTGCTCCAGAGTCATGTGTGAGATGGGCGGCAGACCGATGCAACCGCGCAGGATGTTCTCGATGGCGGCGCGCTGTCGGAAGAGCGAGTTGACCACCTGGGAACCCTGCGGCACCAGAGGCGCCTTGCACAGGTAGCTCAGCAGAGAGAGGACCGGCTTGAAGGGAACCCACGGGGCGGACTCCTTCTCCGCGCTGCGCAGCTGGATGCGTGTGCTCAGCTCTCCGAGAATCACCAGGTCCAGGATCAGGGGTGTGGCCAGCAGTGAATCCTCGCACGTGTTGTGAATCACCAGTGTGTTGTGGCCACCCATCATGATCTCCGATGTGTACTCGTCCATGGCCCGCTTGCTGTCGCCCACGTAGGGCACGTACTTGATGACCACCACGTGGTCGGGGTGCTCGTCGGGTCCGTACAAGAGCTTGTTGGAGGCCACCATGTCGTCCACTACGTTGCTCTTGGAAATCTGAAGGTGGAAAGGTGTTGAATATGTGATAGTCCTCTGGGGAATTCTCAGGACTCTTACCTCCTTGGAGCGGAACTGCTGGGGAGCGGACAGATTCTTTCCGTCGTTGTTGCCCAGATGATTGTAGCTGGCGATGGACACCGGCTTGATTCCAGCTCCCACCAGGAAGTCCACCAGCACACTCTTGATCTTTGTCTGGCCGGACTTGAAATCATCACCGGCAATGAATACCTTCTTTTCCTCAGCCAACTGGATGAGTCCGGGAACAAAGGTGTTCTGCGGCGATCCATTGATGTATGTGCACTGCGCGGTGGATGAACCGTAAAATATGGATTAAGTACTTGTTACAGAACCGTATTTATAAGAAGTCGTGTTTGTGAAACTCAAAAGAACTAAACTAAAAATGGTTTGAAAAATAATATTATAACCAAGGGACATTTGTGCTTTTCATAGGATTAAAGGTTTGTCTTTTTCTGCATGTACGGCATCTAATAGAAATAATATATAATATTAAGATTTATAAAACCAAAAGCCTTCACCATTCTTAATAGTTAAAGATGTGCTTGTTTTTTTTTAAATCTTATAACAGTTTTAAACTTAACAAAAACCAAATAGTATTAAAATTACTTTTCCTTAAATGGTAAATAAATTATTTCAAGGTAGTGGATTACTCACCCCTTCGGCGATGCTGGCCATTGCGAAGATGGTGGACGGCGACACCTCCGAGTGGTTTGCCTTCAGGGAGGCGAGGAGCTCCTGGCTGGTGGTGTTCAGTCCCACCTTGACATCGGAGAAGCGCTCCGTGTTGGCTGTCCACAGCACGATCACGGAGTCAACGCCACTCTTCTCGCGGAAGTCACGGATGTCCTTTCGGATCTGCTCATACTGCTCCAGACGCGATCCGCGGATTACGTTGTCGGCCCGGTCCAACTGGTTGGCCGCGATAAAGTCCGGATCGTAGATGGAGGGCCGGGGACGCAGCTGGGCCAGCTGATCGTAAATCTGATCCTGCAGAGCCACGTCCAGGACCTCGGCCCGACGCATAGCATCGCCCAAGTGCAACCCGCTGATGTCCCAGCCATCCACAATAATATTGTCGGGCTCCACCATGGGCAGCAGCTCCTTCATGGGCACATAGACGTCGCCGCCGGTCTCATCGGATCCAATGAACACGGTGGAGGCCTGGGTGATGGAGCCAAACCAGTTGGCCTCCTGGATGCCCGTCCTCTTGCGCCACTTCAGCTGGCGGCGATTGGCCTCCAGGGCGGCGGTCAGCGTGGAACCATTGTTTCCACCCCATCCCACCAGCATCACGCCCAACTTGGGCACCTGGCGACCAGTCCGTATCTTCAGCGACGTCGTCTGGGGGTGCACCTGCGAAGATCGCGTAGAGATTAGCACCGATTAGCCCCAGCATGGCACAACCCGTTTGGTCTTATTATAGGTCCGGCCACCTTATCGATATGGCACCCCAGTCAGGTAGCGGCATAAATTATGATCGCGTGATTTCTGCGAAGCGAACCTGATTCAATACCCCATTCGTGTTTTTGGAAAGTGGGTATATCGGTGATTGGGGTCTCTTGGCAACTGATGGCTTCGATTAGATTGATTATAATCTGTACTAATAAATATACTTATTTTGCCAGATGTTGTCTAAGCAGTGCCAAGAAAAACATAATGGTCATAATGCACAAACTACCTAGTCAAGAAAGAACACCTGTAAATAAGATAGACAAATCTACACAATGCCATTTTCTTAAGTGATTTTACCAATATTTTATTGAGACATTAATATTTACCTAATATACTCTGGTCGAAAAGTGAATTCTTTTTTTTTATTTCATAAAAAACGTATTCTTATTTTATTGTGTTTAAAATCCATCAGCATTTCTATTTAGGTAAGCTTTCTTTATATATTTTATTGTAATATATTATGATTGTATTATCCAAAGGTATCCAAAGGTCTAATAAAATATTTATTTTGCCTGTTGTTTATTTTAGCAGATCTTGCCCGATTTTTGCCGAGTCAACGTGCTTTTTGATTTAAGCCACAAACAAAAACTGATGAATAAGTAATGATAATGCTGATGAAGATTGCATCAATAATTTGACAACGGGTTAGTCCAAAGTCCGTCAAGAATTTTGGCAAAAGCCGGCCGGCGAAATAAAATGGGAGCTCTCTTAATGACCGGCTAAGAGAGCCGATTTCTGTTAAAGGTCTCTCTTAGGGACATCGCCTGACAGTGACCTTGAGGCGCAGCAAGTGTTTGCTGGGTGGGGGTGGATGTGGGTGGCAGCAACACCCACATGGATGTAAACAGAGCACGTACCGCAACCACAATCGCTTGGAAATGGGCTATCGGGTTCCTATTTGGGTTAACTTGCCATCTCTATTTGTTTAGGGACCACTTAATAGGCCGCAAAGGCGCCTGCGCGCAGAATCACGCCACCCGCTGTTCAACATAATGACGAGATATCAGTCCCATTTATCGTCATCTGTTTTTTCCGAATAATCAATAAACTTCAGCTGTAACGTTTCGTGTAAGTAAATGAGGCACCACCCCAGCTTATCGCTCTATTTATCTACTGCGAATCGGGGAGTGGGTTCTTGGGACCCGGGAATTTGGCGCTGTTCAGTCCTGCCCAGATAATGGAAAATTTCACTGTCCCTACACTTCGAAAAAGAGTTCCCACGATATGTTTTCCTTAGATTGGGCATTTGCCTTAAATATTATAATAGCGGAAACTGAAAAAATCTGTGTTAATTGATTAAGCAAATATTTATTAACAATATACACATGTTTTCTTTTTTTCCAAATAATGAATCATAAAATTGTAATATATTCTTTTACTAAAATCAGTATAGAATGTTTATCTAGCGCTAATATAAATAAATATTTCCTAACATTCTTATTTGAAATTTTGAAAAATGGTTTTTATTTCATGTTTTTAAACGTATTTAATTTCGTTTCTACATAAGCTTGGTGTAATTTGGTCGACTTTAATTAACCACTGCAGTTTTTAGATATTTTTAGGCAACCAGGTTAATGTACATTATTCTCTGAGTGTTGGCGTGTGCGCATTTGAGCGGGAAGCATTTCATATCCCCGCCTGTGCTGTTGGAAAAGTTCAATGTGAAGGTCAGCGTGGCAGCCGGAAAATGGGCTTTTCGCACCCAATTCAATGCCACTCAAATGGATGCCGATCGCGAATAACTGTTCGGAGAGTAATACCTTATAAATAAAGCTCACCTGTAGTTGTCCATCGGCGGTGCGCTTGACATGCGACGTCTGGTAATCGTAGTCGGTTGTAATGAACTCATCATCCACCTGCACTTTCGGGGAGACGACTTCCAGTGTCGAGTTGTTGGTGGGCTTCATTCTCTGTTCGTTTTTTGCTAACACTGTCGTTTTGTCAATTAGCGCGTTTTAATGCGATTTGCTTCTGGAATTTATCGGGTTCGGGGGCTTGGTTCTGGTGTTCTGGAGACTGCGTTGTGGTCGAGGCAAAAGTTCGCGGCGAATGACTCGGGTGAGTGGGAATCAGACCGCTTTTATACAGATGTACACACTCTCTCTTGAATTTCACTCGGAGGCACTCTCCCTTACGCTCTGCAGTGCACTTAAGGGAACCAGACGATATCGGAAATTTTCCGGCACGCGTGGGATTTCTCAATCAGCGATTTTCGACTCCTGCTTTCCATCTCTTTTCCGCTCCTGAGATCGCAATTCACCTATTTCCATAATTTGAATGGGTGGCCAATTGAGTTTAAATTCAAGGGAATGGTTCACCTACGGAAATTTTATGATTGCTCTTATTCTGCTAAAGCTTTCATGGCTTAAAACCTTTAATTTCCTGCTCTTACCATTTACTATTCATATTGGTAATGAATTTGTAAATAATTCGTAATACGAATTATGTAATAATTCGAATTTGTAATACATGCGGATTTTTGTATATAAATAATTGAGAAGAGGTAAATTATGTAGAGCTGAGGCTAATAAAATAATATGCATAGGGAGTAGTAAAAATGAAAAGATAACCACTACTGAAATAATGAAATAGAAATATTAAAGGCTTTGCGTTTAAGTCAAAGGGCTTTATCCTCAAAGTTCGAAGTCCTACAGTATTTATGAATTGGCGGACTAACTCATGAGTCCATGTCCCATCTGGTTTTAGGATCTCGGTAGATACTTTACTGATACATACTTTTTCAAAGGTACATCAAGCTCAGAAATAAAAAAATCAATTAGATTTAATTAAGTTGCCAAATAAAAAAACAAATTGGGCTAAGAAATTTATAATATCGTACACCTTTGGTAAGTATTATAAAAATTGCTGGCAAAACATATATAGGAAATTAAAACAACAATGTTTAGCGAATCTCAAAACTAATTACACAAGCAAAGAAAAAAAATTTTTGAATATATAAACAGAAAAATGTTCTCGTGCTTTAAATTTGTTTTAAATAAACTTCGATTTGTTTCATCAGTAGACGTCCTCATTCTGAATTTGTATATAACTTTCTAAGTTAAAGTGTCCACCGTATTTAAAAAAAGTGTCCAAAGAGGTGTTGGGTTGAATTAAGTCAACTCAAACTTACAGCGAAAATTTTTTAAAATACAGATCACCAATATAGACAATATAAACAAATTAAATTTTTTTTTTGAGACAAAAAAAAAGTTCGGAGTTTAATTCGATCGAAACAAATTAGCAAATTGGTCATTTCTTCGGTATTATCAAGCAGTTTCCTTTTGCACTCTCAGAGAGCCAGCATAATGATATCCACTTGGTTTGCTGGGAGGGCAGGCAATACGGCTTCCTCGAATCTTCTGGAAGCCAGATGCAGGCGACACTTCTTAGAACTTTCCATTATTGTAGTCAATTGAGTGCGAAGCAAGCTCGAATTACCATTTGTTGATCAATCAATGTAGTGGGCTGGTCCGTTTACACTTGAAGTATGACGGGGTTGCATAATTGCTAGACATCAAGAACTTTTTTTGCTAAAAGTTTTCCGCTGGAGTCTTACGGAAACTACGGCAATCAGCAGAGGCACATGCAGCAGTGGGCGTCTTGACTCCCTCACATGCAACCTTATCGGCAGCTCAAGTCTGGCATGTAGTTTCAGAAAAGGCAAAAACCAAATAGTCGGTATCAGTCCGTATCCATTTCCTGCTGAGGGGGATACCCTTCAAACAAATTGTTTGCACTTGTATAAAATAATTGTATTTTGTGGATGTAAAGCGACCTTGAACTTAGGTAGCAAATACTTAAAGCATTCGAATATCTAAATAAACATATAGTACAATGATAAATCGGTTTCGATTCTATGGTGCTAACTACTCTAGAATTTTTGGGTTTCAAGGAATGGTTTGGTGTCTTTCGAACTTCAAATACAGATTCGTGTTTTTTCAGGAAATGCCTTTCGCCTACGTCTTAAAATTATGTACAATTGTGTTAGATTAACTTAAAATAGGGAGTAAATCACGGTGATCACAATATGATAAGCACAACACTTCTTCGAAGAAAACGAAGACAAACGAAAAAAAAGGTGCGGAAAATCAAAATGAGAGCAAATGAGAGTATGCACTTATTTCTAATACTGAACTAGTTGTCCAGGAATTCCCACTCGCTGGAGGTGTTTGAGTCACTGGTAGCTGGTGTTTCCTTGCTCAGTGGGTCCCCAGCTCGGCGAAAGTCGGGCAGGAAGCTTGAATACTCCTCCTCATCTCCATCTTTCTCCAAAGTCAGCTGCGGCCTTGGCTGGCTCTTGACGAACTTAAGCGGAGCCATTTTGGGCTTCGAGGGAGCTACTGCCCTAATCCCATCCACTGGCTGACCCGCAAGATAAAGGTCTGCTCTCTTAAGTGACTTTTCCGGAGAGGTCGTTTGGACACTGGCCTCTTCGAGGTGCGTGGGATAACACCTGATCAGCGATTCGCTTAGTTGGGGTGCCAGCGCCTGGGCAGCATGCAGATCCTCTTCAGATGGCGGGGCCAGATGCACCTCGGGTAGATCCAGTTCGGCAGCCAGTGTCTTGGCCTTTTCCGCAACAGTCTTCTGCAGAGTAGTGGGACTTAAAGCATCGGGCAGAAGCTGGAGAAAGGCCGCCTTCATGTCCAGCGGAGAGGCCAAGCCATTGCTAAGATAAGTAAAAATTGCATTAACAATATGGCAAACAGGCAGACACAATTTAAAGAATAATAATGAAGGTAATGTGTAATCTAGACCTACAATTAAAAACAACTGTTTTAGACTTACAACATTTTATAGATGTCATAAATTATCTAATAATTTTTTAAGTGAGGGAATTACTTCGAATCATGAATAACTTATGAGACGGTTTTCGGCTGATAAAATAATTCGAAAGCTTTGATTGGTATGCTTACTTTTCCAACTGACAGTAGCTGGCCTCCATTAGTGTGGCGGCATTGGTGAGCGGTAACCGAAGCTCATGGGTCTCTTGACCAATCTCAACAATCCCCGAGCCACTGTCGCTTGACACTGGCGGTTTGCCCACCGATGTCTTTCGGGTGGTGTGGACGATGGACTGCTCGAAGTCCATTTGACCGATGCGACTGAAGATTTCCAAACGGCGGTTCTGGTGAGCCAAAGGCGACTCCACGGCCAGTTCAATCGGCACATTGAGGTCTAGCTGCTCCACCGGCGACTGCTCGAAACACTCTTCGGCTCTCTGCAGCACGGGCTCCGCCTGCAGCTCCAACGGTGACTCCAGCCGCGAGTAGTGCGAGGATCCCAGAACCGGAACAGGAGGCGGCATCAGAGGATTGAAGATCACCTTGACGGTCTTATTCGGTGGCTCGGGCAGCGGAGCCAGGCGCAGCAATGTACGTTCTCCCTCCAGCACGAAGATCTCTTTGCCACAGACACAGAAATCGAGAATTTTTCGGAATCCACGCGCCACGGCCTCCACTTTGAGTCGATCTAAGTTAAGTATGTACAAGGTGGCATCGTCGTGTGTAACCAGCAGCGAGTCATGACTATCATACAGGTACAGCTGCCTAAAGTTGCTGCTGGCCACGTGTCCCACTTCGCCGTCCTGCATTCCAGAATCCCCAGCTGAAGCCGGAGGTTGACTGCTGGTGGGCTCAGGGCGCTGCTTAGGATTCAGGATGGGTATCTCCCAGGTGGGGCTGCGCAGTACGGCATCCCTGAAGAGCACCGTCTTGGACACATTGCCCTCAGAGTCGGCCACCCAGAAACGTAAGCCAGGTCGACCGCAGACGAGTTGTGGCTTATTTGCAGACTGTTTCTTGAGAAAGACGGCGCCACAGTCGATGAGCTGCTTGCGATCCTTCTTGCCCACCTGGGTGATGTTCCACTGCGCAGTATGGACGTCGAGCTGGCACACGATGCAGCGGTAAAGAGTGGCTACTAGTAGGTGGCTCTGCTGCACGCTGAGCTGCACGATTTCATAGGCCTCGCTCAAGATCTCCACGGACTTGCTGAGGTGCTGTTGTGTGGGGAATACAATTAGCTTATACTCGGATTGAAAAGGAGGGATAAATGCTCACCGCCTGGTAGTCGAACTCCGTAAGCACCACGACTCCCTGACGATCGCCGGAGTAGAGCTTCATGCCGTTCTTGGACCACTCGCAGCAGCTGACCACGCACTTGTGCAGATCCCGAATGGTGTAGCGCTCGATGGGCCGACTACGGGTGCAGGGGGCCACCAAGTCGAGGTCCCGTGGCAGCTCCTTCTGTATCTGGAAGATGCTCACCTGCCCGTTGGCGCACCCAGCCGCCACCATGAACTCCACGGAGTTGACAATCCGCACGCACGTAATGCGAGTGGCCACCTGGATGGGGAAAGGGTGAGGCTGACTTAATGGGGGAACCACACGCACTTCCCGCTAACGAGAATGAGTCACCGCTTACCTCCGCCTTGAGCTTCTGCATCTCGCCCGTGTGGCGGTTGTACCAGAACACGATGCCCGCGTCGCTGCCCACGGCCAGGAACTCCTCGGTGGCGTCCACGCAGGTCAGGTTGAGATTCGCCGGAAAGAAACCGCGCTGCAGCCGAGCCGGAATGTGGTCGATGACCTCCGTCAGTGGCGCCCACTCCCGGATGGAGCACAACTCCTTGCTGCTGGCCATGTCCTTGCTGCGGGAAATTGCGCCTCAGGACGGGGATTTCGGGATTTAGGGATTCCGATTCCACAATTTGTTGTGTTCTCTCTCTCTTTTCTGCTCTCCGGCTCAACTCAACAAACAACAAAAATACACCCCAAACTGATTGTTATTTGCTGACAACTGGCAACGCCCGTTCGATTTTTAAAAGTGGACAGCCCTGATGAGCGGGTCATTTGAAAAGCGAATCAGTTTATTAACTTGTGGCATTATTGATTACCTATTTCGGTTATTTTTAATTATAGAAGTATATGTGTTTAAAAACATAATTCAAATGCGTTTAGGACTACGTTATCAATGAAATTTATACCTGCGGCTTGTAACTTTATTTTGATTAAATTGTACACCGATCTGACCACGTCCTCGTTATCCTTATTTCTGTAAAAGTTCTTTAACATTTGGGGAAAACCTTCGTTCAGCTCAAAGTTTGCTCTATCTTTGAACACTTTATTTACAAAAAATAAATAAAATTCTAATAAGTAAATTTTCCAAACCTTATCAAAATTCCAACTGATTTTTGCGCTGTGTAACACTGGCGGAACAGCTGTTCTTGTTTTGGTTTTTCACGGTGCGTGCTGTGTTACGTGCTCTGCACTCCGATTAAGGATTTCGAGGGAAGCTATGAGCGGATTGCTTCCAAAGTTGTGGCGTCAATGTGACGCAGTGTTCCTGCACCGGATCAGCCAGGCACTGCGCGGCGCCGGCGTTAAGCAAAGCCGGTGGAGTGGAGCACGTCTGCTGGCCACCAGTGCGGATAAGAATCCAGTCACCGCCCTGCGAGAGTTACCGCACTGCAATGTAGGCACCATCGGTCACGTGGACCACGGCAAGACGACACTGACCGCTGCCATAACTAAGATACAGTCGCAGAAGGGTCTAGCGGAGTACCTGTCCTATGACCAGATTGATCGAGCGCCCGAGGAGAAGGCGCGCGGCATAACCATAAATGCCTGCCACATTGGCTACGCCACCACGGAGCGGACATATGCCCACACGGACTGCCCTGGTCATGCGGACTACATAAAGGTAACAATGCCTAATATGTATTCCATCTATTAACACCACTTTCCTTGTGTAATGCAGAACATGATCTCGGGAGCCTCCCAAATGGATGGCGCCATCCTCGTAGTGGCCGCCACCGACGGCCAGATGCCGCAGACGCGCGAGCACCTGCTGCTGGCCAAACAGGTTGGCATTCAGCGAATTATTGTCTTCATAAACAAAGCCGATCTGGTGGATCAGGAGGTCCTCGAACTGGTGGAAATTGAGATGCGAGAGATGTTAAGCGATTTTGGGTTTGATGGCGTAAATAGCCCAGTGATTTGTGGCTCGGCCTTGCTGGCTCTTCGCGAGGATAAGTCGGAGTTTGGCGTCCCTTCGATTGAGAAGCTATTGGAGCAATGCGATTCCTACATACCAACCCCTCAGCGCGATGTTAAAGCCCCATTTATTCTACCCATCGACAATGCTTTTACGGTTCCAGGAAGAGGAACAGTGGTCGTGGGCACCATAAAAAGGGGTACCATTCCTCGGAACGCGGATGCCGATCTACTGGGTTTTAATCAAAACCTGAAGACGTCCATCAGCGACATCCAGATCTTCCGGAAAAGCGTACCCCAAGCGCAGGCCGGAGAGAATGTGGGCGCGCTGCTGCGAGGCATCAAAATATCTGCGGTAGAACGAGGAATGCTCCTATGTGCGGCGAGTTCCGAGGATATTTCTAACCACTTCGAGGGTTCAATGTACTTGCTATCCCGGGCCGAGGGCGGTCGTGTCAAGCCCATGCTCTCCAAGTATATTCAGCAGCTTTTTAGCCAGACGTGGAATGTTCCTGCACGTATTGATATAGGTAAGAGGTTAGATAAATTCATATATAATTAAGATTTTAAAATATTCTCATTCGATTCCAGTTCCCAGTGAGGCAATGCTGATGCCAGGTGAGCATGGCCAGGTGCGCGTCACCCTGCTGCGGAAAATGGTCATGACGCCTGGTCAGGCTTTTACGATTCGCGAGAATGGAGCCACAGTGGCCACCGGAATGGTAACGCAGCGACTGCCCTCCCTAGACCTGCCCAAAAACAAGCTGTCAAAAGCGCTGGTGGATTGTTAACGACTCGGAATTCTATTTGTACAAATTCATAAATTGCTTTTTATTACGCGTACTTCTTTTTTAATATATTTATATGTTTAGGTAAATTGCTTGGGATGTTTCAAACAAATGCCAACGTATTTTATGGTTGCTTATCTGTTCATAGTCTTCTGCCATGGCTGAGAACACAAATAACAAGTTACAAACTACACGGAAAATTAGAATACATAAATAGATGAAATACAACAAAAATGTTACGGTGTTCTCTATGAGTCTTAGTCTATCATCTGCAGTTTCGGTGTAACAAGCTTTACTTTAAGGCCACAAATCGCCTGGTTAAGTACATTCATTGTATAAATATGTTCTAAGGTACAAGGTTTAGGCAAGGAATGCTCTTTTAATCGTCGGAGTCTCACTCCCGGCACTTTTTGCTTTTCACATTTAAAGGTTGGTTCATAACCTTCCATTATTTTTGCTACAAATAGTTCGTACAACAAAAACTAAACTTGGCAACTTGGAATGGATGCCATTAAATAGTTGGAATGATTGGATACATATGGAATGGAAACTGGTGGGCAATTTAAACTAAACAGGAACTACTACATTTCGGCAAAACTGCTAAGCATCGTTTCATTATCTAATAGATTCTCTAAAAGTAAGAACATTATTAATTTCTACAATCGTTATACTCGTATAATACACAAAAAGAAAAACGGTGTCATGTCATCCCAAATGGCAACGAATCTCGATAAAATATCCCACGACGCTTAAATCTTTGTGAGAAACTCGTCCAGGTTGAGATGCGAAGGCAGATCGATATCCTCCAGCTTGATGTCGCTATACCTAAAGACCACTTTGAAAGGCTGTATAAACTTCTGGTCGATGGTAAATTCGTCACTATTGCTCTTTTGCTGAAAGTAAAAATCGCAATATATAGGAAATTAATATTTAAATAGTTGATTAAGCTTACCATTTGTCGGGCATTGAGTTCCTTGGTTAGTTTCTCCAGAAAAACGTTAGTTATTTCACTCTCGTAGTCATCCAGCTTATAGGACTTCATCACCTTCAGGACCTGGGCCGTGCTCAGCGAAGTGCACAGATCGCAGATGGTCTGAACATCCTGCTCACTTTTCCGGGATTGCAGCAGTTGGGAGACTTGATTTAAGGGCGCCAAAGGTGCCAGCACATCGTTCGACTGCAAGATTTAAAATAAGTTAGTCTATAAACTTTGTTTAAAACCAATTGAACCTACCATCTTTTTGCTGCGCACCCAATCCTCAATGCAGCCGATATTATAGCGGATTATCATGCCTGTCTCCCACATGCAAATGTCGCCCCTCAGCATCAGACAATTAAGGGCCACGGCGCACACAAAGTAAAGCAGCTGATGGAATATCTGCTCCGCATAGCAGTTGTCCAGGCCAAAGTGCTGGAACTGCTTGTAGAAGTGCTCTAGCTGCCCAATCAACTGCTTCCAGGCCGGACCACCTCCGTGTTCTGGCGAAGAGGAGGCTCCAATCGACGTGGCACGACTACGCATCCCATGCGCCTGCCGCCCGCGCTGAATCTCATCGTTGTTGAGGATTGCCGGCACTATTTTGGGGTCCAACAAACCCTGAATCTGCATTATCAGCGCCTGGTACAGATTTACTATCAGGTCAAGAATTACGCGACGGTACTCGAACAGATTGAAATTCTTCAGCTGCTGCTGATTCTGTTTCTCAGTGTTGAATTTCACGTACTCCTCCACATCGCCGTATTGCTTGAGAAGATTCAGCAGTCTAAGGGGTAAAGCAATCATTAAATCCTTGAGTTCAAAAAATGTTCTATGACTTACGTGATAGAGTTGACGAGCCAAATGACACGGTTTTCAATCGGATGCGGCGTGCGGTGCATTTTCTTGATCTGTATCACAAACTTACTCAGCAACTCACGCACATCATCATCCGCGTTGGTGAGATCGGTGTAACTTAAATGGAAAAAATGTTGTTTTAACAAAGTGTTCCATTATTCATTGCCAAGGCAATAACTCACCGAATGCACATAAAGATAAGATAGGCTGGGAAACCAGGCAGAAGACCCACCACAGTGCGTGGAGTCAAAGCGCTTAGCAGACGCTGCAAGATCTTGTCTAGATCGCTGCTGTGGAACTTCATGAGACCCTGCGGATTTTGAGACTTTTGCTTGGTCACATTTGCGCCCACGTCGCTGGACGTGCCGTTGGCCTTATTACGGCTCATCTCCTCCTCCAGCTTGTGCTCCAGCTGGCCGCCATCCTGCCGATAAGCCTTCAGCTTGGCGTGCGCCAGCTTGAGTTCCTCCTGCACGAGCAGGAACTGGGCTACAGCCTTTTGCAGTTCCCTGCGCAGATACCGATCGTTCTGCTTAAGGGTATCGACATTGGCTTCCTCAAATTCATCGATGCTCTCGAAGATCACCGTCTGCAGCTCATCTTTTTCGTTGTTCAACCTTTCAATCTCCTGTGTCATCTCCACGAGCTTGCTGTTGTGCTCCTCCGTGATGGCCTTAAGCTCGGACTCGAGTTGACTGAAGATGAGAGAAGAAAAGAATTAGCTCTGCAGATATTATTTTTGACTTTCACCCACCGATTGATAAGCTTCTGGGAATGGAAGGCCTCCATCAACTCGTTGACGTCGTTGCCCCGCAACTGCAGACTCTCTGGTTCGAGAGATCTCATGGACTGGCTCTGCTGCAGCAGGACCGCCTTCAACTGGATACACTCCTCGCGGCGCCTACGGACCTCTTCCTGCAAGGCGGCATGCTGGGCTGAAATGGCACAGAGTGGGAGGAGGAGGGAGAAATGGATGTGGGTCAGTAGGACAACTCCGTGGGTCGCACGGTGTGCGTGGGCGGTTACCATTGAGCTCGTTGATCTCAACACCGTGTTTAATGCTCGTTCGCAGCTGATCGTACTCGCTGCGCAGTTTCTCGTTCTCTACCTCAAGCTCGGAGACGCTGTGTGTTTGGTGAGCAGTGTGCGGCAATAATACATAGATGTAGACAAATGCAGTTTTGTTTAAGATTTAGTTGGAGTTGTAGTGGGTAGGAGCATATGACTGTGTACGCTCAGTTTTGTGGTGCCCTATTTACTTACCGGAATGAATCCTCGGTGGGCTTGTGGCGGCTTGCCAACTTGTTGTACTGCTCCTGTAAGTTCTTGTGCTTCTGCTTTTCCTCTTCGAGTATGGCTCGCAGCTTTACCACCAGACTGGTGGAGTCGTTGTACGCATCTAAACGGGTCAAAATATAATAATATTCGCTTCATAAATTTGTTTATAAATAGTGGTCTTACAATTCTTGCTTAGCAGATCCGGCGGCCGGTTGATGTCCAAGGTGTTCTTGGCCGAGGCGTAACCCACATCATCCTCGTTTTGGCTGGAAGCGTTGCTAGCCTTGCGCCCATGCAAACTGAAATTGCCGGCTGTGAGCCGACTGAGCTCCTCCTTTAGCGTGTAGTTCTCATTCTCGATCACCTCCTTGTCCTTGATCGCTCGCTGGTAGGCCTCGTTGAGCTCCCTGTTGTCGATCTCGGCCATCATCCGGTCCTCCTGGGTGCGCTGGCTGACCTCTGCATTCTTTGCCATTTCAATTATCTCGTCAATCTGACGGCGCAGTTCCTCGTTCTCTAGGCGCCACGTCTGCTTCTGGCTAAGCCAATCCTCCTGCGCATGGCCGTTCTCCTCAAGCAATTGCATCTTCTCATCCCGCTCCGCTTCCAGCTGCTTGTTGAGTGCTTCGATCAGCTTATCCTTGTCCTGGCAGGCGGCCTTGACGTTCTTAAACTCGCCCTCCAAAGTCTTTTTTAGCTCTAGCTTCATTCTGCAAAGGAATAAAGAATTTAATTTTTGACATTATAACACTTAGAACACCGAATACAGACTTCAATACGCTGATCTCGCTGGTCTTGTGCTTCAGGTTGCTGTTGTCGCGGTTCAGCTCGTCGATGCGTTGCTGCATAGAGATAATCTTGTTTTCCAGTCCCATGTACTTGTTCTCCATGTGCGAGATCGTCTTGGCCTCTGCCTTCATGCGCTTGAACTTACGGCGGGCCAAAAACCTTCGAATCGCCGACTGGCAAATGATGATGTTGCGCCGCCGCTTTTGGTAAGCTCGCCGCGCCAGGACTCCACGCACAAACCGCTGGATCTGAACAGCCCGAAAGTGATCGCGCATTGCATAGAACTTGCTACGGGCCATCATGCCGCGAGCATATGTCTGAATGCCGGAAATTGAGTGGCGCAGGCGCAAGAAACGACGACGACATAACCAACCTTTAGCGTACTTCGACAGAATCAGCCCCGCCCGAGCCTCTCGCATCTTTTGGAATCGTTGGCGAGCGAGAAAGCCTCGCGAATGCTGCTGGATCCCACTGATCACCGATTGGAGGCGTAGGAACCGGCGCCTGTAGATGAATCGCCGCACCACCGATTGCACAATGGTGATATACTTCTTGCGCAGATTGGCCCGCACCTGTTCAAGGAAGGCCACCTGGCCGGCGCGGAAGAAGATCTGCGTGTTTCCGAACCGGTACTTGTCCTCGTCCTGGATCCACTTCATCACAATGTTGCGGCACGACTGCTTCATGTCGTTTTTGTCGAGCTTTGAGCGGAAAACCAGCAGCTGATAACGCATATAGAAGTCAGGATAAAGCCATCTTGAAGGGAATCCCGCAGCGGAGATGCGCACTGTTTCCAGTACTCCGCAGGCTCTCAGCTGCTGGATGATTTTGGCCGTCTCCCACTTAAAGGCAATCTTGTCATCGTTGGGCTGCGCGAAATAAATAAATTTTAAAATGTATTTTATATTGTATATCTTAGTCTAAGTCCTCACCTTTATGCATCGCACATAGTGCGGTGTTGTGGCATGTAACGTGGATATTAGCGAGGCCAAACTCTCCTGAAACTGGGATCCCACAGTTTTCCTATGCTGCTTGGACGGTACAACCTTATAATAAGTAAAAGTCAGGATTAATAGAGCGACTCGTCAATTTGGACAAACACGTAATAATTGAAAGATCTTAAACGAATTATACCAAAGTTTCGGCTTCAACAT